CTGGGTGGAGCTTTCCAGATCCGCTGCCGCCAATCGCCACGCATGGAGAGGTGCCGTTCGTGACATCGTTGAGGCCGGATAGATCAGGCATGATCACAGCCGTAACAAGTACAAGTACACATTTTGATTACAAGGACTGCCAATCGAGTGGCGAGCTCAGCATTTTGGAAACAGTCAATACGATACCCAGTGCAGGGCCAACAAAAACGAAATTAAGGCCGAAGACGGAAGACAAGCGTTTTCACAAAAATTTATTTTTGTTGCGTCTTTGTTGAGCGTTGCATAAAAAAACGGTTTGGTACAAAAATGCACAAAGAAATATAATCACAAATTTATCGCAGGCGATAGTTCAAAAGTCAGCTATACAGAGGTGTACAAACATCTGGAATGCCTGAACAGGAAGAAGAGTGGATGATAAATAAAACGTACTCGAGTTATGACAACATATATTTGGTATGTTTGCCCTTAGCAAGCAGGCTGCCTGAGGCCTCGTCAAACAGGGTAACTTCGCAGAAGGCTAGAGTCTTGCCTAGTTTGAGGATGTTCGATTCAACAGAGACCCATGAATTCATCTTCGCCGCTTTGACATACCTAGTGGGGGGTTAGGGTAGAAATAATAATAATAACAATGATTAAACTTACGAAGTGCTTAACTCCACGCTGACGTGCTGAAGATGTCCTCGACGCGCGAGGTCCACACTCGAGATGAAGTCAACTAGAGTCGCCGTGTAGCCCCCGTGGAGAGTACGGAAAGAATTGCCGAGCTCTTTCGTTACTTGAAAACGACATTTCAAGAGGTTTTCATCGGCCAAAACAACTTGTAGGGGAGCGAAAACTCTGTTGAAACCGCCATCACTGGCCATGGTCCTGATGAGATTAGTCACTGCTTGAACGCTCATCTAAATTAAAATCCAAGTACGATTATAGGGACTTAAAAGGACAGTTAAATTGAGCAGGCCCTGTGGTGATTCACTGCGCAAAAATTCTCTTGGTGCGTGTTGCTAACTGTAACTATCTACCCGTATAGATGTGTTACTAATGAAATCCGCTGATAGGCATAGCGATG